AATATATATATATATATACACTTTTTTTTAATAAGTACACCTCTTTATTTTTTTTTAAAAAATATAAATATGTTTATTTTTTAATTTTTTAATTTTACATCTCCAACATTCAATTTAACACTTTCTTCTTCTTTTTCACACATATTTCTTCAGTTTTCACACTATTGCCCTTCTTCTCTCTTCTTTTAATTTTCACATGCATATGAGATATGAAACTAGTTTTCAACATCATTATAGGTGCGCGTGTGACTTTCTTGACAATGTTAAAGGTGTCAAGCCAAGTGTGTTTTTTCTTCAAGCACTTCCATTTACATGTCTAAAAAATACATCAAATAATTTTAGTGTTTCAAAAAGTAATTTTCAAAATAGTAAAATTAGTGTTCCGGAAAACATTTTTCATAATTGTATCTTTAACATATTTTTGAAAAGTACTTTTTAGAATACTAAATTTACTATTATAGAAAGTACTTTCCGTAATACTAAATTTATAATTTAAAAAAAAAACTTACTAGAATTATGTAAAACAACACACTTTTAAAAAGTACTTTCCAGAATATTAATTTTATTATTTCGAAAAGTACTTTCCAGAATATTAATTTTATTATTTTGAAAAGTACTTTCTTGAAAATTTTTCTAAAATACTAATTTAACTATTCCTGAAAGTACTCAAAAATAGTGAAATTAGTGTTTTAGAATGTTTTTCCATAACATTAAATTTAATGTTAAGGTTTTCAGAGTATGAAATGAAAGGAAGTGTTAAAAGAACAAATGCACTTCTAGCTCGATAGAACTTGTCAAAGAAGCTGGACATGCAACACTATCACACATCAATTATACAATCCAGTGCATATGAAAAGTGAAAGAGGTGAGGAAAAAAATAATATAAAAATTAAGAAAACTAAAACTACCTACTAAAATAAGTAGGGAATGAGAGAAGATAAATCAATGCATGTTAAAACTGAAAAGGAAAAGGAAGAAGACGTGTGGAAAAGGAAAAAAAATTAGTAAATTGAAAGTTAGAAATGTAAACTTAAAAAATTGAAAAAGATTAAGAATATTTAAAATTTTAAAAGAAAATATTAAGACTTACTTATAAAAAAAATGAGATGTATATATTTCACGAGTGTTACCGTAATCCATGAAAAGGGGAGGGCCCATTTTTTACGCATATCTGAAATTGGAATATGTGGGCTTCTCAGTTCCCTAAACGCTTCATTTTTATTTATTTTATTTACGACCCAAAAAGAAAAGGGACATCATAATAGAGTACTTTTTGGACCCAAACTTCAAAAGAAAAACAGACGAACATGGGCTTAGTGGTGGCCCAATAGGAGTCCAAAGTTAAACGACAACTGATAAAGCGTCGTTAGGTCGATTGCGGTGTGTGAGCGTCAACAATGGCTTCTTCGTCTTCAACATCGGGTTCAGCTTCAGGTTCGGCGGTGACGGAGCGAAGAGGAATACCAGGAGCTCAGTTCGTTGAAGATGTTCAAACTTATCTCACTCAATCGGGTCTCGATGTTGGCTCAGCCCTCGCTTTTCTCCAAGAAAGGTCTTCGTCTTCATTATCCCTTTTACTTTCACAGTTTCCACATTCTCCAAACCTAAATATTTAATGATCTGCTTTGTATTATCTTCTGTCTCCCTTGAAATTTCGCTTCCTTTGTTCATTCCTAGACTTTTCGGATTGGATCAGTAGGGTAATTATCTTTAGATACGAGTTCAGATTGTTGTTTGAGTTGGTTCTTAGTTTCTTTTCTGTGCCTTGTAATCGAGAGAATATACTGAGATTCAAGAGTGTGGTTTGTGGCGTATATATGAGTAGTCTATGGTGTGAAGTTATGAGGTTTTCAGATGCATGTGTAGAGAGTTGCAGAAATTGATGTGAATGTGTAAGTGTGTTGACAGTAATAAAGTAATGGAATGATAAATGAATATTTTTTTTATGCAAAGGTAGGGAGTAGGGAGGGATAACAAACTCAGCTGAATGTGAGCTGAAGAAGATCAATGTAGATGGTTTTTAGATTGTACAATGTGGGGCTGTGAATCTTTTGGAATGGGGAGAAAATTTGTGCATGATTAAGGGCCTGTTTGGATAAGCTCATGCATGAGTTAAAAATAAAAATTTTAAAATGCTAATAGGAGAGAGTTTCTACAAAATAACTTATGTGTAAGCTAATTTTAGCATATGGAGAAGCTTATTTAATTTTTTTCTTCCTATTTTGCTCTTCTAAAAATACTTCCGGAGAAGTTTACCCAAACAGACCCTAAATGAATTTGTTACTTGGAAATCAGGAGAGGCTGAATGATGTAAAAGAGTTATTCTGGATAAATAATAAATTTTTTTACTACTTCTGGGTCTTGTGAAAAACTTCATACAGTCTACTAGAATTATGGTCTGTTGTTATTTTTGTTTCTGTAGTATGTATAGTGGGATTAATGAACGAGGCAGCTTTTAATGTGATTTTTAGGTTTGAAATAATCAATGTGATTCCTTTTTAAAACTTTGGAACTTATCAATGCATCATGCTTAAGTTGTTCTATAGATTCACTGAGTGTACAATTTGTATACTCAAGTTATTGCTTTCTTTTAGGTTTATTGAATGGAACTGACGCAGTTGAAACTCCTTGTATTGTTATTATGTCATTATTATAGCTTTTGACATATGAACAATGGAATGGTATGGTTATGATCCGATGATTATGTCTCCTTGCTTGGTTCTGCTGAATCTACCCTTTTTACTCGAACCAAAATGTACCAATTTTTAACCCCATGTCCAGTTTTGTCTATTTTTAAATGTACCCAACATGGAATACTACATGTCTCCATTCTAAATTTTCTACCAAATGCTAGCAATGTGTTAATTTTACCAAGAAAGACGACATTTCACAAGTTGATGTCGCATTGACCATCATATTTTCTTGCAGACTTCAGCAATACAAGGTTGTTGAAATGAAGCTTCTTGCTCAGCAAAGGGATCTTCAGGTTTTATTTCCTTATACATCTAATACTTTATGATCTATCTTAGATAAGCTACAATGAGGCATACATATACTATTATGTTATTATTGTTTTGTTGGTATTTTGATTATGGACCTAAAAGACAAGAGAGAAAGAAAAAGCAGTCTGATTATATTTCAAGTTAGAATCAATAGCATCAAGTTAAATTTTAAGTTGTGTTAGAGCAAGTGTGAATTTGAGATTTTTATGCCTGTTTAGGCACCTACTCAACAGGATCAAGCAAGCTATTTGCTCTGTAACATATCATGAATATTATTTATTTTGATATTATGTCATGGGGTTCCACAATCCACATTATAGCTTTTGAAAACGTATATGGGCTGCAACCAGAACAAACGTATATGGGTTGTCATACATTTTGAACTTTTTCTGTTCCTAACTGCCTAGGCTTCATACATCAAAGCATAATGCTGGTTTAGACTTTAGAACGAAAAATCATCTTTATTATTGATTCATTATCGGAAATCGCTAAATTTAAAATTTCAAATAGAAATGTTGAACATAAAATGATTCATCTAAACATTACTCTCTATCTATCTATCTATGAGATGGGTGCATTTTTTTTCTTTAAGTATCTAATCAACCTATTGTGGTGACACTTTTTGTTTGTGGTGGTTGTCAGGCAAAGATACCAGATATTGAAAAGTGCTTAGACGTTGTTGCTACATTGCAAGCTAAGAAGGGTACTGGTGAGGTTCGTTTGGAGCCTTATTTTTTATAACAAATTATAGTAGTAAATATTATTTTGCCAAAAGATACTTAAAAGTTATTATCTTACAAAAATGTCTAGATATTATTGATGACAATGGTCAGATTAACTGATATCAGACAGCTGAAATATGAATTTCTATGCATCTTATTCTGTTAATACATATAATGTTGTGCTGTCAATGTATGTCATATTTTTTTGTGATGTTGATACATCCTCAAGACTCCGTGGTTCCTCAATAATATTTGAACAGATCACTAATTATATGGCTCATGACCTTGGTTTAGATGTATCCTTTTTTCCTTGTTGGCAGCTAGCGTATAGTTTCCTCACCTGTATTTTGTCTTCCATGAAAAGTTGATGGCTCAGGTCCCCATGTTTAATTGTCAGGCTTCATTGCTGCTGCTTATTTAAATTTTATAATTATATTGCATGTCTTTATATATATATATATATATGCAGATATGCCTTTAATTTGTTTTCTGGGTATAGATTTTATGTCAGTTTTATGCTATGAAAAAGTTCTTTGTCTGTTGGGAGTTGTCTATTGCCAACCCCTAATGGTTGATTCATCATCTCAAGCTACTGGAGTCTGCTTGTGTTCATCCCTCATATTTTATAACATTGATACTATGATCAATCTCTTTCCTGATATATAGAACCAGTCCTAGATACACTTACAAGAGTATTCGTTTTGTGCTTGCACTTCATCACCTTCATATTGTATGGTCAAACTTGTCAGATTCTTGCATATACCACCAACCACAGTTTGCCATTAGGAGTATGTGATAAACCTTTGTAACTGGCCTTTCTTGTTCTGAAGGATTCAACAGCGCCAGCACCTTCATATATGCAAAATCTGGCATGTCTGAAACACCAAGGATGTGCAAAATTTATGCATTGCTGTCTATTTTTGGGTTAGGAAGACTGCATTAGACTAATAAAGGAATAAAATAAAATTTTACAAAACAAACTGTATGGAAGGACAGATGTTGGACTGGTATTCATTTACATTAGCAAGCTTTTGTTCATTATTTGCTGGGTTTTACTTGAGGATATCACTCTCCCTCCACTCCCCCTTCCCCACTCGCCCCCCAAAATATTCAGGCTCAGCTGTTGGTGTGGAGTTCTCAAAATATTTAATTTTGACCATTTGTTAAACTATACCAGGCCATCTTTCTAATAAATGTTAAAAGTTTTTACTGAAAGTGAAAAACATACATGAACTTATTGCTGATGATTATATTTGACTTTAAAATACACAGGAACTTATTGCTGATTTTGAAGTATCAGAAGGCATATATTCACGAGCACGCATAGAAGAAACTAATTCTGTGTGTTTATGGCTGGGAGCAAATGTTATGCTGGAATATACATTAGAAGAGGTACATGTGTGTATTTAGGTGCTATTTCTGTTTCTTATTTCTGTAAATTTCCCCCTATATAAATAGAGTATAAATTTCTGTTGCAGGCTACTGGTCTTCTACAGAAGAACCTTGATAATGCTAGAGCCAGTTTGGAAGTTCTTATTGCTGATCTACAGTTCTTGAGGGACCAGGTGACAATTACTCAGGTCAGTTTGCTAATTATCGAGGGCTCCCACACTCCACTCTACATTTTTAACACCCTTCCCATTAAAAGTAAATAAATGTCAAGACATTGAACTTGTATAGTGTAGCGAAGGTTGCAAACAGTGGCACATTTTCTTTCATTCCTTTGTTTTCTTAATAAGTAAGCATACAATAATGCCCACTTAGCATTTTCAATCCTCTCATTTTCATACCTACCATGCAAAGATTATCCTTATGAGATGCATTAGAGACACTTGAACACTCCTGTTCGTATTTTGCATAAATGTTGTTAAGTACGTGTATAAGGTAATCACCCAATCTTTTCATAGGGTTCTTGCCTTCTTGGAAATAATTAATTATTTGTCGTTTTTCTATATCAGGTTACAATTGCTCGCGTGTATAATTGGGACGTTCATCAACGGAGAATTCAACAAGCTGTTGCCACAACTGCTCAAGAATAGTAGAAAGGAGAATTTATTCACTCGTAGTTCTAAAATTGGGCACTTATACCTTTTGTTTAGAGTATGATTCTAATTTAGATAATTTGTGGGTTGCTCCCTGACTCTAGTTCCGGTTTCACCACAGTAGACACCAATAGGAACCTATTTTATATATTTATGTGGATTAATATTTTGATCTCTTGTAAAATGCCCATGTGGGTTGATGGGAAAGTTTTGGTTTGGTGTGATCATATGGACATATTCTACTCTGCAATGCGGTTTCAATTGTTTAAGTTCATACCGATGATGTTAATGTTAGTTTTCTGAGTAAGCCGAGTTTAAGTCCAAATTTTGGATCAGTGAGAAGATATATGTATGGACCCACAGAAGCTTCAATTTGTGAACGAAATCCGTCGGCTAAACTAGGGGGAATAAAAAGGGACAAGACATCATCAAAATCAATTGTTCTCTAGTGATGTCAGCTTCATCATATCTCTCCTCAGAAGGGTCGTAGATCTGGACGGTTTCTAATGAATATATAAAATTAACACTAATAGTCAAGGATGAGATGATGCCAGGTTTGATAAATATGATCCAAGTCAACCCCGGTCTTCTTATACAGTTTATGAAAGTAACGGAGTAATAATAGAAAACTGAGTAATTCAGAATCTTGTCTCAAAGTTCTGCCTGTTTGAATGAGACGATATGAATGTGTTTGGAAGAACGATGAGTTGAACGTGGCCAATATTTTTCACAATCCAACAAAATTGTTTTTTTCATTTTTAGTTTTGGAATGCGTAACTGTATGGTATCTTGCAAACAGTAATCCGAATAACACATACGTGTTTGGTGGTGTGGCACTGTTGTTCATGTGCCCAAACAGGTTTACTTGCTGTTTTCAACCTTTCACACAGGTTGATACTCATACGGCAGGGTGACTAATTAATTTTTTCGGCACATGGGGACCATAACAACGATAGTGGGTGTCTGATTTCTAAACATACCTGACCTATATAAAGTGAAGCATAAAAACCAATAATGGTTAATGAGGTCACCTTTTTTCTTCTTATTTTAACCATTTCCCCACTTAAAAGTATGAATGAGCTAGCTTTGTATTTGGCAGGAATGAGGAATGATGTGAATTATTTTAAAAGTTTAAGCTGCTACGTGAAGAAACGTCAGTAATTTCAACATAATTACTTTTTGATGACCGATATCATTTTAATATGATATCAAGTCTATTCTATAAGAAACAAAGAATAATATCAAATACACTATCATCTATACTAATAATAAAGATACTAATTTTTCAATTTTATTTTTTAATTAACTACTACAAATTAAACCGTACATGATTAAAATAAAAGGACAAAATACTTGTTAATTAACTAAAAAATTGTTATTTAGAAGGAATGTAATGTCTTATTTTCTGCTAGTTTCTTATAAAAAGGATAATTCATATCATCGGTGTCCGTCAAAATTCATACCAACTGTCTAACTAGATAATTTATTTGTACCGCCTTTTGTAGTTGAAATAGTCTTGATCATGATAACCTTAAAAAATATTAAAATGATTTTTGTAGGGTTGTTATACCTTCAAATATATCGGCAGGGTCAAACTTATACCCTTATCAAAGAACACTTTGAAGGCATAATTATGGTTGACCTTGTTATACGGGACCCTTGCCCATTTATTGCGTCCCAACCTTGTTAATTAACATGCTGGTGACACCCTTTAGTCATCGTCAATAACACTTCCCCTTGATTGACCTTTTTCATTTTTAAACATGAACTTCCATCATACTTGGCCTCTTTATGATTCCACACGTCATTTCATTTAATTAAGTTATAATTGTGCAGCTTGTCTTTCATTTCATCTCCTTTTATATGATCACCATCTAGAAATGGGGTGAATTAAGTTAGACAAAAGTTTAAAAGGTTTGAGGATGACTTGTATACCTGATATAAGCTCACTTTTTTAAAAACTTTGTTATCCTTTTTAAAAATTTGAATTTAAAGTTATCAAGATAAGTCGAGCTTGTAGGGGGTAACTCAATAAATTATAGAAATTGGACTCTAAATTTTTATGTTTGAATTAAATGTAGATTTTTTTTTTATCTAATCTAATAAAGTCTGTGTTTGATAAAGTCTGTGTTATAAACAAATTAAAGCTGAACTAGTCCATCAAACCTTGAATTGTCCATTTCCTTATTTAATTTTATAAATAATAAAGAAAAAAAAATAATTAATTAAGAGATTAAGACTAAATAGAATTATAATTCTTATGAAATTTAGTCCAAATGGTTAAATATTATATATATAATTTTTCACATCAATTTTTATAAAATAATAAATAAAATTAAAATATTACATCGATTTATTTTTTATGTTTTTCTTTTTTATTTGTTTCAAAATTTTAAAATATATTAAATTTTTTTAATTGCACAACTTAATTACGCAACTCGACCTAGCTCAACTCCAACATGTAATCAGATTTTTATATTGGGGTTGGGTTGGGTCATTTATAAAAAATTACAAAATCGACCCAACCTACATAATATTAAGTTTAATCAAGTTAGGTACAAAAATACTTCAAATCTGACTTGAGTTGATCCGCTTACATTCCTATAGATTTGATCAAAAAAATTAAAAGAAATGTAATAAACTTTTCACGAGTAGCATTAATTTGTGGATAAAAACAAATGTTAATTTTGTATTTGAAATCATAGATGGTGTGGCACAAACATATCTAAAACATGTATTATTATATGGGTTTTTTTGTATTGGTTAAAAATACCTTTTTATGTGATGCTAAACCCAACATAGATTCAAGTGATTTAAAAAAAACTTGAACTTTTTATGTTGTTTAATGAATCAATATAAAACATATTTTTTTATGTCGGCTTTTTTAACAAACGACAGAGAATTTTTTTTATATCAATTTATAGTTATAGTTGACATAGAAAGTTAATTTTCTATATCAATTAAAGATATGATTGTATTAGTCTTTTGACAAGTATTTCAATGTTAACTCAAAAGCGATGATGAGTAATGGTTGTCTCTACATATATTTGGTTGTTGATAAATTGATTGATTCTCAATTATATTAGTTAGCAAATACTTGTTTCTACATATACTTGGTCATTGATAAATTGATTGATTTTTAATTATATTAGTTACCAAATACTTGTTAGGTACATATATATATTCACAAATATTAATTATTTTGATTCAATTAACAAGTTAAATTGACATGATTGCAAACAAAGCAAATAAGAATAAAGGAATTCGAATGAGAGAAACTTGAGATTGAACACTTATTATACTCTTCAATAACCTTAATAATGTGGTTGTATTAATCCTCTCCTATAATATCATGTGGGATTAGATTTTTCAAATACTGATTCTTTTATAAAAAGATTCTAAATTTTTCCCTTTTGGACATAAATTCCTTGCACATGCAAATAGGAAAACAAATTTTGTATTGAGTTCTTTTTTTAGATTAATAATTTGAATTTTATTCCTAACAACTTAAATCATTAATATTAAGTGATTCATTTCAACTCATAATGTAAAACTTATTTTTCAATCGAGTTCTAAAATCCAAGTTTATATTATATGAGCGATCAAACACATTAAAAGCATTAACAACATAAATGCATCACTAAATTAATAAATTCATACACGTAGAAAGAGTGAAGTATATATCCTTGAATAGTTGAATCCAAATCATCACTACAAGAAAATTGTCATATAATAACACCAATCCTATAGTGACACTATACATGTCACTAAAAATTATTTTTACCCACACAATAACTATAATATATGGTATATTATTAAAAAGTGTGGGTATAGACTATAGTGACACACAAAATATGTTGTTAAATCTCATTCAAAATCAACACTAAGATTATGTGTAACTATATGTTAAATAGACATATACCTACATATATTATACTTATAGTAACACTTTTTGTATGTCACTATATGTAACATTTCTTGTAGTGCATCCAATAATCTCTGTGCTTATTTAAACTGAACATGTTAGTAAATCATACACGTACATGCAGTTAAAATAGTGGTTATATAGAATAAAAGTTGGCAATTTCAATAGGATTATAGGAAAATTACCGAAGTTCTTTGTCATATAATTTTGGGGTTGTCTAAACCAAGATTTTGATCAGCATGCCGTTTTAATTAGTATATAAACTACAAAAGTATAACCTAATTGATTCTTACAAGAAATTCTAAAAGCAATGGAGAAAAGAGAGCCTCTACCTTTTTGTTTTATACACCGTGAAAAGTTTCTATCGTTTTATAAGCCACAGATAACATTAAGCAAAATGCTAAAAATGTCAATGAAAAGGAGCTAAAGTGTTTAACTCCAACCGCACAGATAGTAAAAGAATATATTTAATGGTTTAACCATAAATTTGCTTTTATTATTGTAGTTTTATCATTTTTCATAAATATGAATGGTCAACAAATTCGTGTAATGGTTTATCTTATTCATGTATGATTGTATATGTATAAAGGTACTGACAAAAAAAAGATAATTAAATGGTAATATGTAGACATTAGTGACATATGTTTAGTTTGAATAAATTTTATTATAAATATTTATGGGAAAATTCTAGCTACCATCTAACTTTTTCAAAGTCTAAGGTACATAAGTTATTCTAGTTTATAGGAGAAACTCAAAGTATTTTATTTTTCTTATTTATTATTTTATAAATAATTATGGACAAATTTATCTACAGATGACCGTATGTTAATAGCACCTTAATTAATTGGTGTAAAAAAAAGTACATTAATTAAAGGCAATATTGTGATAAGAATTGATCTATATTATACATCAAATATTCTTATAACACATGATATTATCAATATAATTATATAATAAATTACTAAATAAAATTTTTAATTTAAATATTATAAGAAGAACTAGAAAGAGTATTAATAAAATTATCCAAATAAATACCATTGGCTTAAAGTAATTGTATTTGTTAATTTATATGAAAAAAACTTAAACTTAATTAATATGAAATAGAGGTAGGTACCATTGGATGGTTAAGGAATTAAAAAAATATATTGAAAATTCCAACAACACACTCTTTTTATAAAATTTTAATATAGTTTTTCATTAAGAATATATTATTTATTTATTCTTTATTAATATGCGTAAGAATGTTGTTCTAAAGTCTTAAACCGAAATGTTATTTTTAATGAGGATTAAACCTAGATTCCTATATTTCTAACTATCTTAATTCCTTCTCATCCAACTACTAGACTAAC